AACCAATTCTCCCAAAGTAATTGCTGGGAAAATTATGATGTATCCAGGCCGTTATCTTGCAACCACTTGGGGATAAAGGAATTGCTGTAGTTGGTGGTGACACAATAAGGGGATTTACAACTTCTGACCAGGTATCTTTCTGATGTATTTGTCTATCTGTGATGCATATTCATCGCAGCATTCCTCTCTGTATCTATCTTGTATCTGAATGCTTCTCTTTTTCAAACTTGGAATAACGAATGTTCTTTTATTTTATTTCTGTTATTAATGAATTGGCTTGTAGAAACAGTTTATACGTGTATGTGCAAATTTTCATTCATTTTATTCATAGCTAAGCAAACTTTATTGTTCAAACTTGAATCTATATTCATCAACCATAAAATTGTCACCTGATATCATGCTTGGTACAGATATTCATGCCATCATTAAAATTAATTTCCTATGACGCTAACATCGTCAGTTTCCTTTTTCATGATTTGCAGGCATGGATCACATTAATTGGAGAGAAGTTAGATGCTACACTAGCAAAGGTTGTGGACAGAATTCCATTGGGAGTGGAAGAAAGGAGTTAAAATCTTATTCCCATAACTGAAAACCTTCGTAGTATATGATTTCTGAAGTTGTGTTATTCAAGGTATTTCTTCACATCAATAGATTTTTCCCAATACAATGTTTGTGACTCAACTAGTAATAAATGCAAAATAAAAATGGACACACTATAAACTAATTATTACGCATTGTTCAGAAAACAACTATCTCAGTGCTTCGATTCTAATAAAAGATAACACTATAATGATTCATATGAAAGGATGATTATTTTTGTTAAATCATGAGAAGCAAATCTAATTGTCAAGATTTGTGTTCATTCTATCATTCGAGAAAGATTTGTTGCTAAGTCTTCATCATTATAAGGTGAAAATGCATGGTCATTTCATTATTGCATGGTCAAAAATGCACACGTCCCTGTTTGCCTTGATCAAGATCTTATTATGTTCAGTAAATGTCATCTCACTTTGTGCTGTATTGTTCAAGTCGTATTGAAAATTTGTCGAACTAGAAATGAAGCTGGGATTTGCTCCAGTTTGATACTTAAGCTACTCGAATTATCACCATCAGATCTCAACCTGATGCATTATCAAGGTGCACGATATATGGATGCATTCAAGCTGTATTCCATGTTCCAGAAAAATGAGACTGCAGATGCATCAAGGAAGAGGCTATGACTGACCTGTCCAGCCACGAACACATCATCCTTTAAAGGATTTTGTTTTTTATTTTTTTTCTTATTTTTTTTACGTAAAATCTTGCTTCCTTTTATACTACACTCAACATTGATGTAGATATATTGTCTTACGGGGGGACATGGTTCAGGTTCTTTTTCTTATGAAATTGCAAATCATTGTTCAAAGGTATTTTCTGTATGGGAATATCTATTATATTTGAATGAATGTTCATCAATCCAGTTTATTCCCCTGCTTTGTAAGTCTTCAATACCAATTCAACTTTTCATTCTTTCACCAAAATATCTAAAAAATCAGGAATTTTCATAGTCAGTAAATGTCGATAACAACGGTATAAATCGCTAAATTATTCATCAGCGCAAGTAAAGAGGGAACCAATCGTGTTACATATATCATCAGAAAGTACAGAGTATAACATATCTATGTCTTAAATCTGTGGTCCTTCCCATCTTTTGTACAAAAACAGAAGGATCAGATACAGAGTATAAAATTAAACAATCGAGAAAAGAAAAATAATGAATGATCATAGTCTGAATTTCTCCTTTACAAAAGAGCCTGATTTCAAGGCTCCCATACCTAAATAGCAAGAGAGGAAGGCCTCTCCCATGGCAACAGGCCTGTTGAAACATCAATCAAACTGGCCAAAACAAAATCTCTCAACCCAGTGTCCCAAACCTCGCAAAATTTGATCGGCCAATCAGGCGGTTCAATGGCCTCGGTCCCTAACCCGGGTGCTCGGTCTCTTGAACCCTCGTTTTGGTTCTGTTGCCAGTCAGCGACATATGTAGCAACCCGTCTGTAAAACTTTGCTCGAAAAACCTCCCACACTTGATATTTATAGTGATTAATTACTGCAGTACTCTGATGTAAATTCAGATATTTAAATCCCTTCCTCAAGTGGAAATGGTGCACCACATTGAGGAGTGTGGTATCTAGCGCGTCTGGTCGAATGATTGATTTATGCCTCTCCGGACTCTGAAGTCGACAAGTGTAACCTACCGTAACTCCCCGCGAGGGTGGTGAGTTCAACCCCGAGGGTCCAAAGCTGTGGCAAGAAGTTCTGATTTCAGCAATACTTCTTGATGATGACGAAACATTTGCCACCAAGGTGTTAAGTGAATTCTGCCCCGCGTAACCCAATTTCCTGAATCTTTTGTGCCGTTGTGTTGAATATGGAAAGTAGAAGAATTCGTCTACATCCATGAAGGAAACCCAATTGCATTCATACTTTGCTCTCAAAGCACAATGCGAAAAGCCTGCTTCTTGAGTCTTAATCCATGGCCATATGTGCCTAGTGACGTTGTACTCCTCTAGATCAAGTTCCCTAATAACCTCTTCAATCCCATCATCACTATTATTATCGTAAATGAACCACCTCTCGACTCCAAGCCAAGCATGGTACATAATCCACTCGCGAAGAGCAGAAGCCTGGTTCCACACCATTGTACACACACAAAGCTCGAATTTGCCCTCGCTCTTCTTCTTCTCCCCCTCCTCCTTGGACTTGAAACCAGAAATCTTGGCCACAGAAGGCACAAGGACACGCTCGTGAATTCGAGAACGACCATAGGGTACCATTCCAAGAGTCACTCGTATTCCTCGTGCCTTATCTGGATTAGCTTGTAGGCTCCGTGGCAATGAACATCTCACAACCTCCTGAGCAGCTGTCAAAGCTTTCGTCCTCAGCATAAATCTCCCATCAATTTCCCAACTCCTTAGTCCGAAATGGCAACTGAATTGTCCCGGATCGGATTCTCTGTCCGACCTCAAATTCAATCCCTTCACAAACACCACAGCAGTATCCCCATCCAAACTAGCTGCATAAACCAAATTTTCCCAAGAATGAACCGTCTGATTACTCATCCATAACCCAGTATCTTCCTCCAAGACCCCATTTTTACCACCCCTCCCCAAATTTACTACAGTTGAATAATTCACAGATGGAAGTGGGCACCGCATAATGGACCTAAACTCATCATATTCATCTACAGACAACACATTTTGCTTAACCAAAATATCCCTATCCCTTTCTCCAGAACTCCCACCACGACTTTCCAATACATTTTTACCATAATAAAAACATTCCAATTCTTTAGCACTCTTCTTTATCAACCCATCTTTCTTTAAACTACTCACTAACAACAAAATATGATCAGGGAACAAAACCCGGTTCTCTATTTTCCATGGAAATGTAAAAGAGTCATCAAACTCTTGGATTCTTTTAGCAAGATTTGAACCAGAAGAAGCTAAGCTTGAAACCACCAAAACCGGGTGAAAAGCCGAAGAGTTTAAGGGAATCATATAAGATATAAGAAACAGAAATATGAAAAAGCTGAAGCACAATACAAAAGATCTTAATGAAAACAAATATACAGAAGAATATGATGAATAATATGAGGGTCTGAATAGCCGTTTTCTCTTGCGTGAAGAATCCATTTAATTTCTAAGTGAAAAAAATGCAAGAAATTGATCTGATTTCAGGTTAAGATTTAGGAATGTAAGAGACAAGTATTGTTTTTTAAGTTCAGATCTGTGTGTGCCGACAGTGGTGTGCTCTTTTTCTGGTAATTGGGTAATTGCCGCAGAGAGAATAAAGGGAGGAGAAAAGTGTGGACGCGTTGGATTGGCTGGTTT